TAGTAGGTTGTAGGCCATCGCTATTGGGTTGGAGGCCATCGCTATTAGTTTGGAGGCCATCGCCATTAGGTTGGGCCATTAGATTGCAGGCCATCGCTAATGGGTTGGAGGCCATCGCTATTAGTTTGGAGGCCATCGCCATTAGGTTGGGGCCATTAGGTTGCAGGCCATCGCTATTTGGTTGGAGGCCATCGCTATTGGGTTGGAGGCCATCGCTATTAGTTTGGAGGCCATCGCCATTAGGTTGGGGCCATTAGGTTGCAGGCCGTCGCTATTGGGTTGGAGGCCATCGCTATTAGTTTGGAGGCCATCGCCATTAGGTTGGGGCCATTAGGTTGCAGGCCATCGCTATTGGGTTGGAGGCCATCGCTATTAGTTTGGAGGCCATCGCCATTAGGTTGGGGCCATTAGGTTGCAGGCCATCGCTATTGGGTTGGAGGCCATCGCTATTAGTTTGGAGGCCATCGCTATTAGGTTGGGGCCATTTTGTTGGAGGCCATCGCTAGTCGGTTGTAGGCCATCGCTATTGGGTTTGAGGCCATCGCTAGTAGTTTGGAGGCCATCGCTATTAGGTTGGGGTCATTTGGTTGGAGGCCATCGCTAGTAGGTTGTAGGCCATCGCTATTGGGTTGGAGGCCATCGCTATTAGTTTGGAGGCCATCGCTATTTGGTTGGGGCCATTTGGTTGGAGGCCATCGCTAGTAGGTTGTAGGCCATCGCTATTGGGTTGGAGGCCATCGCTATTCACGAAAGGTAGCCCTTTAGGGGATACGTTGAGTTTGTTTTGCGAAGCAAGTGTTGGCGCGTCCGGGTCTAATAATTGATCATTCAATTCAACCCCCCCCTTCGAATTGATTTCTCAATACAGACCCCCCCCCCGCCCCCTTGGAATTGATTTTTCAATACAGACCCCCCCCTCTAAATTCAATCCTCTCCTGGAGAACGTCTTCGTGAACCTCTCATGATTTCAGGATAGTTGAAACCCTCTTGAACATTCAGAAAGAGTGCATATGAAATTCTATTCACGAAAGGTGTTCCCCGAGGGGATACATACCTAGAGTTTGTTTTGTGAAGCACGTCAATTCTCTCCTGAAGAACGTCTTCGTGAGCGTCTTATGGTTTCAGGATAGTTCAAATCCTATGATGCTCCGATTCAATGCTCACCGATGATCTGAGCCATGGGGCAAGTTTGTTTTCCTAAGAATCTTTTTGAACATTTCGAGAGCATATGTTTGAACATTTAGAGTGCATATGAACATATATTTACGAAAGGTCGCCTCCGAGGGGATAAATCACCATGTCGAACATTGCATTTTTGTTCCTGCCTCTCGCGTTCTCTTCTCTTCCCGCTGTCCCACCTTTCGTGTCTCCCTCCTCTCAAGTAGTTTGGAGGCCATCGCTATTAGGTTGGGGCCGTTTGGTTGGAGGCCATCGCTATTAGTTTGGAGGCCATCGCTATTAGGTTGGGGCCATTGGGTTGGAGGCCAGCGCTAGTAGGTTGTAGGCCATCGCTATTGGGTTGGAGGCCATCACTATTAGTTTGGAGGCCATCGCTATTAGGTTGGGGCCATTTGGTTGGAGGCCATCGCTTCTAGGTTGCAAAAATGTCGCATCTTTGGTGCTCGGTCAGGCCCGGCAGGCCATCCTCCAGCACTGCCTGGCACCTCCAGCACTGGGGAGGGCCATTTCCGCAAATTTGAAATTCGATTGGCCGCTGCCGCAGCTATGCTGAGGTGGGCGTGCGGATGTTTCAGCTGGAAAGCGGCTTGGCAGCATTGGCAGCCACGTATTTCTGGTGAGGATTCCTAGCGATTCGTGACACACAGATAATCAAAGTGCCATAACATGCAGTGCCTCATGATGCCGGAAGCGTGTTTGAGATGGAAGGACACTTCAATTCCTGAGTCACTTGATGCCTGTAGTGGTTCTGTTGGCAGGTCCAGCAACTTGCAAGAAGTAGCACCAGACTAGAGTAGACAGCCTCGAGTTAGGGTAGCACCACCCGCGGTCGTGTGTACACATCGATGAGCGTTGAATGCATCCTGATGCGACGCAATCCAGTATCTGACCAAATTTTGGCAGAAGGCTGTCCAACTGCAGAGCAAAGGTGAAAAGCTCCTTATCACTAAGAGGTTACGGACACTGGCGCACGCGCACACACACACACAAACTCTGAGCATGCGCACGGTTGAAACTATGACCTTGATTGAAACCATCATAGCACACACACACAGAGGGTTGCAGTGAACTTGAGAAGAGCTTTGTATTGGATCTATAGTATGACTTGTGGAAATAATAGCTTCGCTTTTGAGGCCGACTGCTGGGAGAACACCGCGTTCCAGGCTGCGAGGCACAGATCTGGTAACTCTGCAACTGATCTGGTGAGTTCGACATTTCTACGCCATTGGAGGCAGCACCTGCCAAGGAATGCCGTGGAAGTGACAATTTTTCAACGGGAGATGGCCGAGATAGCCAACTTCGACCAACGCGGTGCCGTCCTTAGCTCTCAAGGACTGAGGGAGAGATGAGATTAACCGTTAACCTGAGCTCTCAGAGAGAGCCTTAAAATGAATTCATTACTCAAAGGGAGCCTTGAAGTACTTTCCAGAAGTCTTGGATATGAAGTCGCTTTCCTGAAGGCCAGCCTCCTCGGGCAGCCGAGCTCATGGATCTGTTCGACGCTAAGCGCTGGCAGAGTAGTGAAATAGAAGGAAAGATGTGGCAGGCGGTGTTTTCACTTATTTTTTTTGGTTTACTTTCATATTGTTATTATTGTTATTTTTAATTTTCCTTTTTTTTGTTTTGACCTCTCAGGGTCGAATCTCCTCAAAGCTCATTCAGGAGGCCAAAGGTTTGATCAAGGATTTAAAATGTAGTCATGATAGTCATCGTTTGACAGTTTGATCGTGATCAATATGAACCAGCAGACTTAAACAGTGGCGCATATCAACAGACAAGCTTTATCTGTTGATCGTTCGCTACCGTTCTCTACCGTTTCCGCTGCTTCGAGGCAATGCAGATGTGTCGTCAATCTCAAGCTGGAAGCAGCGCCGTGTCAACCTTAGGGCTTGGCCTCAAACCTAATAGCGATGGCCTCCAACCAAATAGTGATGGCCTCCAACCTAATAGCGATGGCCTCCAACCAAATAGCGATGGCCTCCAACCTAATAATAGCGATGGCCTCCAACCTAGTAGCCATCATCGCCTCCAACCAAGTAGCGATGGCCTCCAACCCAATAGCGATGGCCTCCAATCTAGTAGCCATCATCGCCTCCAACCTAATAGCGGTGGCCTCCAACCAAATAGCAACGGCCTCCAACCTAGTAGCCATCATCCCCTCCAACCTAATAACGATGGCCTCCAACCTAGTAGCCATCATCGCCTCCAACCAAATAGCGATGGCCTCCAACCTAGTAGCCATCATCGCCTCCAACCTAATAGCGATGGCCTCCAACCAAATAGCAATGGCCTCCAACCTAATAGCGATGGCCTCCAACCTAGTAGCCATCATCGCCTCCAACCTAATAGCGATGGCCTCCAACCAAGTAGCAATGGCCTCCAACCAAATAGCGATTGCCTCCAACCAAATAGCAATTTGTCTCCAACCTAATAGCGATGGCCTCCAACCTAGTAGCCATCATCGCCTCCAACCTAGTAGCGATGGCCTCCAACCTAGTAGCCATCACCGCCTCCAACCTAGTAGCCATCATCGCCTCCAACCTAATAGCGATGGC